AGACGGAGCCGCAGCGCCGGCGGCAGCCGCATCCCGGGGACGGCACCGGGACCGGGACCGGGACACGGGAACGGACGGAACCAACCGCCCCGGAAACGGCCCCGGGACGGTCCCGCGGTTGCACCGCTCCGGGCGGAACATGTGCCCGCCCCGGGAGCCCCGGGGAACTCATAGCCCCTATAGGCACCCCTACACCCCTATAGACACCCCTGCATCCCTATAGGCACCCCTATAGACACCTCTTCCCTCCCTGTAGACACTCATAGCCCTTATAGACACCCCTGCCCCCTATAGGCACTCATAGCCCCTATAGACACCCCTGTCCTCCTATAGACACCGCTGAACCCTTATAGACACCCCTGCCCCCTATGGACACTTATAGTCCCTATAAGCACTTATAGCCCCTAGAGACACCCCTGCACCCCTATAGACACGCTTGTCCCCCTATAGACACCCCTGCCCCCTATAGGGACGGAACCAACCGCCCCGGAAACGGCCCCGGAAACGGCCCCGGGACGGTCCCGCGGTTGCACCGCTCCGGGCGGAACATGTGCCGGCACCGGGGAGGCCCGGGGAAACCATAGCCCCTATAGGCAGCCCTGTCCCCTATAGGCAGCCCTGCCCCCATATAGACAGCTGTGCACCCCTATGGACACCCCTGTCCTTCTATAGACACCCCTGCACCCCTATAGACGCCGCTGAACCCCTATAGACACTCATAGCCCTTATAGACACCTCTGTCCCCCTATAGGCACTCATAGCCCCTATAGACACCTCTGTCCCCCTATAGGCACTCATAGCCCCTATAGACACCCCTGCACCCCTATAGGCACCCCTGTCCCCCTATAGACACCTCTGCCCCCCTATAGACACCTGTGCACCCCTATAGACACCCCTGTCCTCCTATAGACATCCCTGCACCCCTATAGACACTCATAGCTCCTATAGACGCCCCTGCCCCCCCATAGAAACCCCTACTCCTCTATAGACACCCCTCCCCCC